TTATTACAGACTGTAAGTAGCTAGATTATTAGCTACCTTGGGCAGCTCTAAGAGCTATGATAGTTTTTATTTCTTCCATGGTTTATAACCCTTTAAACTTCCTCTATAGCTATCTAGTACCTCATATATCCTTTCTTATCCCTGCATTCATAGCACATAGTGTAATATTAGTTATTTACATAGTGAAAGTGAAAAATCTTCAAAAAATGGTTTAAGGCCACAACTTCTGTTTTTACTTTTAGATTTTAATACAAATTAGACCTGCCTTGTCATTTCTAGAGTGTGAAAAGAACACGAGTTTACTGCATTAGCGTACAACAGTGAGCCAAGATGGCCGATTTAGGCATGACAGGTCAGCTGTTTGAAATTACTGTGTAAAGCCTGCACAATTTTTCAAGGCAAATGRCTATGCCCAGTTAATTCTATAGCTTATTAGCTCTTAAATGATAACAAATAGAAATTTGGGGAAAAGCAAAAATAAATAGAAATTTTACTTTTTCTTACTCGGGGTAGCATTCACTCTAATGATATTTTAGCAATAAAAGTCTTACGAACTATGCCAATATTTTTGGTGACAAAGATAAGCAATTTAAAAAACAACTACAATAAACAAGATTGAGGTGTTCAAGCTACCTTATATAGATATTTCAACAACCAACAACTTGAAGATCTTGGTAAACCTAAACAAGGAAAATTACCTAAGATTTGAGGGTATGCTGAGGTAGCTGGGATGGTCTTAACATTTTCTTTAACACCATATGCCACACAATTTTTCAGTACAAAAAAATTGCACACCTGTAAAGATAAAAGAAAGGCCATTCTAATAGAGGTAATTTCCATCTTGGGGAATAGTAAAACTTTCGAGTAAATTGACTTTGAATTTGAGTAAAAATTAGCTTACACGCGAATTTGGCCATCAAACAGCCTCCTATTTTAGACGATCAGCTTTCAACTAAAAGTTATAATTCAACAAAATGAAAACATCAAAGAATAATTTCTCACCTTAAAGAAAGATTTCCTCAATTTACTGGTTAGATTTTAAATACGACAGGAACAAAGATAACCATGTCTTGAGGTTTTTCCCTTTCGGGCACATTTTGACGAGTGATTTATCTCCAAATAAAAGGACGATGTACTTGTTGATATGCTCATGTGCTAGTCCTTCGTCTCTAGTTTTGATCCTCTTTGAAGCTCTTCCATCGAATGCCTCTAAATTCTGAGAACGTTGATCAGAAAACCCACAGACTGTGCATTCCGAACAAAATGGCGGCTGAAATTCTTTTGTTTTCTATTAACGCGCGCATGCGCAGTACAAATTGCCTATATGCTATACAATGCTTGTTTAGGCTTACTGGAACTGGAACTGGAACTGTTGGACTGGAGCTAACTCTTACTTCTACTTCTGCTTCTGCTTTTTCTTCTGCTNCTGTACTGTGCTGTTATCAAGTAGGCTGTACTGGATGATATAACCTCGTAATATACCGTTTAAACAAGTGGGGTCCTGTTGCCAAGCCATAGAGATGCTCGTAGATGATATAGCTTGTATGTTTGTGATCACAGGAAAGCATTCTGGAACTGCAAACAAAATAATTTGGGAAATAGAAAACGCACGCGTGTTATGTGTGCCGTTAAAAGACAAGCAGAAGACACGGTAGAAGTGTTTTCTACTTATTTTTATAAAAAATAAGTTAGTTGAGTCCGCGTTCTTTGGACATGAATGACAAAGTAGAAAGGTGCACGCTTTTTCTACCATCAGAACGCGAGGGTTTATAATAGTTAGTTAGCAACACACTATATGATAGCTCTAACGATAGTGTCACGTAGGGAGAAGTGCAGGGGGAGGGATGCTTTCCCTGCGGACACAAAGATTTCCTGTCGAGTCGGTCTGTCTTCTGTTAAGGCTTTATTCGACTTTCTTGTACAATGCTTGTTTAGGCTTACTGGAACTGGAACTGGAACTGTTGGACTGGAGCTAACTCTTACTTCTACTTCTGCTTCTGCTTTTTCTTCTGCTCATTCTGCTTCTTCTGCTTCTGACTCTCTGCTGCCACTCACTACTGAACTGAACTCTGAKCGAGCTCGTATTTAAGGGTTAAACTCACGTAATACGTCACATAACTGGTTTGTACTAGGTCAAACTAGATTGGAACAGTTTGGCCAAGTATGACGTAAGAGCTTGAAACATGTTTTGACTTAAGGAAAAAGTACGAGCACTTAGTTTTAATAGCTGACYCTAAAAATCGGTCGATGGTGCTCGCTAGCTTAACTAAAAGAGAACAGATTGTACTAAAGAAAAAGGCTGAGGAAGTAGTTGTTGGTACAGCAAACAACCCTGCTCTTTTCCAGTGAGTACGCATGTACAAAGTTGAACATGACCAAAGCCCGTTTTTACTGGAAAAGTACAGTARATTTGCAGCTGTTGCTTACTACAAAAAGTACTTCCCAATTAGAAGTGAAACTATGACAATAAACAAATATCCTTGACCCTGGAGTTACTGAACAAGTCATTATACCTGTCTCTCCATTGGTCAATGATAGGTTGTCTATTGACAAGTCATTAGAATAAAAGGTTTCACTTACATTTGTTATTTTAAAGAAGGTTTAGCAAATAAGTTTTCTATTTCCCGAATGTTTTTCCCTAATATTTACCCTTGAATATATTTTTCCCTTCTACAATAGCAATGTTAGGCATAGGTGAATGCAATATATTAGAGAACATATAATGACTGGRAAGATTACCATCTTCTTGCGTTCTYCCAAACGCAGCCTTGCTCAGATTTCCATCCTTGACAGTGTACGCAAGAACTTGAAAGCTGTAGTTGGTAAATTTCTTTAGTCCACTCACAACGATTGAAGTAGAATTTGGATTACTATCAGTGGACCAATACAGCTCATCTTCGTCAACTTTTCTATACGCAATTTTGTAACCTCGGATAATACCGTTTCGCCGACAAAGCGTACTTGGAAGCGGTGACCACTCTACTCGGGCACTTACTGAGGTCAAAGGATATATAGACGTGATATCAGGAGAACAGCTTGGAGCTGCAAAAGGAATAATCAGAATGTATGAATTAAACATTACGTCATTTTTAAACAAATATGCAATGTTTATGATAAGCAAGAAATTCATGAACCAAACATATTTTACTACTCTTTTCGATGTAAAACAAAATACGAATATAGCTCTCAGACTGCTAAAAGGAAAATAAAATAAAAATAGGTAGAAAGAGATGTTCAGTTTCATAGCTGTTATAAAATAAAAGATTCCAATAGTTTTTTGTCTTCTTTAATACTAGGTATAACATGGCCATTTCAATGTATAAAGCAAACGTATCCCAATAAATTGTACTTCGTCTACTCGATGAGGAACTTACCATCTTCTGCAGTTCTATTCGTCAACTGGTTGCTCCATGGGCCGTTCGCTACAGTGTAGGCTGATACAGAGAACWKGTACCWTGTGTATCTTTGCAGTCCAGTTATGTCGTATGTCGAAGCATTAACATTTTTGACAGTAAAAGTTTCTAGGTTTTCTGTTCCCGATAAACTGCACCTTATTCGATAACCCTTCAATWTTCCATTCCTACACTCGTTATCTGGTGGTGGTTTCCAGGTCACACGAACACTTGTGGATGAGGTAGCCTGTGCTGATAGTAACACAGGAGAGCATGTTGGAGCTAGATGAACAAACAGAACGAAACATATTTATGTTTTAGTTATGTTATGTTTTCATTTTCAACGCTAAAAATAAATAGTTTCGAATCATTATAGGCGTTATCATACCTGCAGCAGCAATAGTCTTGGCATTGATCCAGTTGCTCCATACTCCAGCTCCATCACTTGTTAACATTCCTCTTAGTCGAACACTGTACTCAGTGTAGGGTTGTAGGTTTGTTAGGTTGTATTCCATAGTGTCATTTGGTAAAATCAAGCTTTCTATCCTACTTTTGTTCTTGAACTCCATCAAGTATGATACTACTGGTATGTTATCCATAATCCTCCATGTCAGTTKTAACGACCTTTGATGTGGAACAATGTCGGGTCCATCTGTTTGCAACAAAATGTATTTCAAATGAATTATATCATCATTGTTGAACGAGATCATTTGTGTACTTTGTCTTTTGTTTCTCGAAATTAAGTCATAAAATTAGGAAGAGTAAATCAGAAGTTAATTTGTCACATCATAATAAACAAATTTATTAAGTCAGTGATCATAAGAAGAGAAAGGAGAAACTGCATGCCAGATAAAGGATTTTAAAATTAGACGTGCAATATTTAATGTTTCAAGTTTTGATGTRCTTACCAAGATACGAAGTAAAAACCTCTACACGCATCGTTTTATGTTTGYGGWAAGCTGTYGGTACAAACYGGATGTATCTCGCTGACTGTAGATTCTGTAGGCAACGTATCTCAACAGTTGACATGTCACTGTTACCTTGAAATATCTGATAAAACCAACATTAAAAAACGCATACAAAATTAATTAGGGAACAAATAATTTATTAAAAACTTCGTAAATTAATACTTATTTCGAGTCATAAAGAAATATAAATTATAAAGCTTCTATTATAACTTTCCTTTGTCGTTTCCCAAACAGGTGTACGTACAAGACCTAATTAAAACTTCTACAATAGTGAAGATGAATAGCTTTGTAATAAACTTTGAATAACATATTATTGTTAATTTTTTGGCCTATATAAATCTTCCAGATAAAGTTCAATAATAGCCAAGTTAGACGATGCCATTCATTCCAAGACAAACATTTACCTATGTGATTTGCTAAACGAAAAGCTATGTTCGTTGCTTTATCGTTGTATACAGCTATTTTAAACAAGGTTGAATACTGAACACTGCATACTGAATAGTGCATTCCAAGACCAAAGGGAATTGTGGATCTCGTTAATTTGAAATAAATAGCAAATATACAAGAATTAACTCTCTACGTGTAGTAAGTATATTGTTTAAGATGGAATACACTAAAAATAGAATAAATGATAATGTCACTATTACCCACAATGCAATTCAATACCRAAATAAAATTAGYTATTATATAAAAAACGAATGATACAACTTTTTCCGTGCTCCGCTCAGAAAAAAAAGCATTTAGGAAGCTCCGTAAGCACTCAAGAAATGTGGGAAGCACTCGCCTACACTTCTTTCGTGCTTAGGTTACTTTCTGCGTGCTTTATTACTGAACGGAGCACGAAAAAAGCTGGGTTTTTTTTTTTTTTGTTTAAATGAGCAAAAAATCACTGGTATATAGAATAACTTTCTATTAATAACCGAGAAATTATTGTACCTTTTCCGTTCCATTTTCTTGGTAGGTATTCCAGAAAGCACCGTACTTTGAGAAACGAAGCTTGTAATGCGTCACCCATTCGTTATAATATCTACCACCTTGTGTTGCTACACCACACACTTCAATTAACCGACCAAGGTCAATCTGCAGGTAATCTTTTTCGTTGTATACTGTACTGGGTGCCCATCCAAGTGAGCTGTGTAGTCTACCATGTTGAGGTGCATAACGTAAATCATAATAAGAGGATGCTGTTAAACTGCCGTCAGCAATGGCTGACCTATACTGTATCCCAACAGSGTTTCTGTCACAACCTAAATCTATGGTTAAAAAATGCAGAGTTCAAAGCTGCGAAGCGATTTCAAACATTAGACGCATAAAATGATCTCTTTAACATAGAATTGAACAATCCAATTAATTGCAGTGGTTAGAAAATACATAGTTCAAAGCTACAAAGCGATGTCAAACATTAGAAGCATAAAATGATCTCTTTAACATAGAATTGAACAATCCAATTAATTGCAGTRGCAATAAATGTCATATGGAAATTACATAAACTTCCGTTTAGAACTTAATCCTTTTCGCTGGTTATTTACATTTAAATTTAATGATAAATACAGCAATGTTTTCATAAACTTTCGTCAAATAAAGTTTGTCGACAGTCTTAATGAATGTATTAAGTAATTAATATTAACATATAAGGAACTTAATCCTTTTCGTTGGTTATCTACATGTCAGTCAAATATAATATGAAGCAACAGCAGTCTTACATCATAACAATACCTGAGACAGAAATTCCCTTTACAATCTGAAAAACCTGTAGATAAAATGAAGCAAGCCAAAGCCGCATTGCACTGATAATGTATCAATTTTCGATTCTTCCTTCTCCAGAGATAAACATGTATCAAAATGAAATACCCACACGAACCGAAACAGCTGATACATGACACTTGCCGGATTAGTWAAAAAAAAACACCAGGCATGCGCAATAAATACATACTTTATTCTTGCATAATTTCACTTTGTCATCTCAAAGATGATTGATCTTTCGCTATAGCAGGAAATCGTTTCATTTAAACTGTTTATTGTACCATCAAAAGTCTGCTGAGATGAGAGCAAAGTTTGTTTTTATTCAGATCATGAGGCTACCGGTTTAGAAAAATTAAGACTGCATGCATTTTGAAAATATGTATCAAATTGAGTTGATCCTCGCAGTATAGAAGCAACTCATTCACAATCTCATACACATATTTTGAAACTATGGTTACTGCAGTACCACCATAACGCGTTCCATGCATTCMCCTTGCTATTATTCTTCATATTTCTACATAAATATAACATTTACTTCGTTTACATTTTTAGTCGTTCTGATGAGAATTTTCAATTGCAGTACCTTAATTTGTTTGTTTTATAGCCATACGCCTGCTTTCCGATAGGAAAGTGAAATCATTCAGTAACGTGGAATGCTAAAACGAAAGAGGTCACAAATAGTGCGGATGAAAAKATTATCGTTAAAAACTCGCTTAGTTTCAAAATCATAAGAAGAAGAATGATAATAATTCCATTCTGGAAATTCAGAARTTTCTTTTTCCAAAAAATCGAATTYRAATTATGACCCAAAGCYAATCAYCAGAACGAGCTGCAGAGGTATTTCATATTTAAACATAACAACAATTGCCTGCTGACTCTTGGCACAACCACAAAGGATATTAGAATTCTCTCAATAACTCTCGAGTTCAAATTCTCGGGGTCTTCTGGATGTGGTAATAATTCGAATTTATTTCAGTTTATTTTTTAGAAAATATCTATTTAAAAATATTTCTTCACTGTCTTATAAAGAGAAATTAAGACTTTATATTTCTACGACTTAAGAGTTTATTATTTCAATAATAAAATATTTTTTGTTTTGATTACAGCTTATTAATGTAAACTATAAGAGGAAGTAACCGAGAGAAAGAGCATGTGTATCCTTACCACCAGAAGTAGCTCTCGCATGAAACTTCATTTATGAAAGGCTTTTATTTCCGTTGATTCTTACACTGAAATGCCCAACAAGCATTTCAGTGAGCTAAGCCTGGAAATGATTGGCCGGATCATGAATCAGCATTAACTTATTTTAAAATGTTTGTTTACCAGGTGATTTGAAGAAAAGGCAATCAGACTGCGAATGGTGCTTTTTTAGGAAAAAGAATAGGGAAAGAATTAGGAAAATGGCGGACAAGGAAAATGCAAGAAGTTTCATGTGCTCGAGGATCTAAGGCTTTAAAATATGTTTTCCTAATGAGACCAGGATTTTTTATGATTAAGAAATGAATGTTTTAAAATTACTCTCAAAGTAGCTACCGAGAAGCTTTCTCGATCTCTTGAAAGGATTTTTATAACTACAAACTCCAACACTTCTGCTGCTCTTGGGACCTTAAAAATCTTCAGGTGGGTTCAACCTTTTTTTAGAAAAGTCTAGGGAGGCAGGGAGGCGGGAAGGCAGGGAGGAATTTGTTATGGATAATAATAAGACAATGYCACAAAGCATAGGGGTGCGCGGACAAGAAAGGACGGTCTAGCGCCGTCATTACGCCTATGTAATATCCTCCTTAGTATATATATCCTTTATCTATTTATTGAATGCTTTCTTTCCCCATATATTTTTCAAAAATAGTTGTATATACGAATACCCACATATATTTATCAGTTAGACGACATAAAAGCGCGCGCCCATGGCGATATAGACGCACGAGAGAAAATATAAAGAACGATTAACAAGCGAAAGAGTGGCACGAGGCGAAGCCGAGTGACACTCTAGCTTGTTAAGAGTTCTTTACATTTTCTCAAGTGCGTCTATATCGCCATGGGCGAGCGCTTTTTTGTCGTCTAACTGATTTGTAATATGACCAAAAATCTACCGTGCGACCCATGGGCAAATAGTTCATAGGCATTTCAGCCAATCAGAGCGCGCGTTATATCACCCATCTCGCTCGTGCGCGCGCTATTGACGCCATCGGGTTTGAAAATTTAGAGAAAAAAGGCGAGCGTCCGTTGAGATCAGCGTGCGCGAGCGTGCAGCCCATGGGGAAATATTTCATTGGTTTTTGGCCAATCAGAGCGCGCGTAATAATCTAGTCATATTATAAATAAATATATACACTGCGGTTTGCACAAACTTTGACTCTTTTGCACATATGCATAAGTATATTTCAAAATTTGTCTTAGAAATTATGGGATACTATCTCTGAAATTTTTTGGTCCAGAAAGCCCTAGTAATAGGCAATCTAACAAATATCAGCGATGATATCCCATAATTTCTGACATGCTTTTGATATGCTTGTATGTACGAATTTCTTCATATCGATGTATATATATATATATATATATATTTTAAAATTTTATATATCTGAGAGTCCAGTAGTTTCTCATCTCCATAGGTGAAAATGAGCAATATAAAACGCGAACGTATCTCAATTAATTATGTTTGGTCAAAATCGAAGAGGTATACTTGCCACCTACTTCGATTCTATTGCTTGTTCCGTGGACCTTTAGCTCAGTGTAGGCTGATACTGAGAACATGATGTCAAGGATAGCTATTGAAAAAGAAAAAAAACTGAATTTCACAACAATAAATGGAACAAACTCCTTGAATTTATTTATCTTATTTGATTCATTTCTTTGTTTTGGATGTATATTAGTGTCTTTATGTAAATAATTATTTATTTCTTTTTTCTTCTTTTTCTTTTGTAATTGTATGCGTTTGTTTTAATGTTATATGTATGCAGTTACAGAATATTATTTGTTTAATAAAAAATGTTTAAAAAAAGAGAACATATGTTGTCAGTCCAGTAAGATTGTACGTCGAATTATTGATCTATATTTATTGACATTAGAATATCAGTGGTTTTTCTCTTCCCGATATCCTACACCTTATTCGATAACCMTTCAATATCCCATTTCTACACTCAATATCTGGTGGTGGTTTCCAGATCACACGAACATTTAAGGATGAGGTAGCCTGCGCTGATAGCAACACTGAAGAACATGTTGGGGCTAGATTAACAAAAAAACGAAACTTAGTTAACAAACAGGTTTTTAAGCCCCTGACAATGKCTATTATATATTTCCCTCGTAAACAAAATGCCTTTTTTTTTACCTTGATCACACGTTTAAAAAAAGTTGATGAAGCATCAGAAGTAAACTTATATCTATCAGGATAGGACAAATATAACACGAAAAAATATTTTTAAAAATTAACTGTTACGGTATGTTTTCATTAAACATGCAAGAATGCAAAAGAGTACAGCAATTTTGGGTTCAGTTTTGGGAACTGTCAGAAMTTTATTCGGATTATGGAATTGATGGCTTGGGATCGTAATAAGTCTTTTCAGTTTTTGTACAAAAAGTATTAAACAAATGAAATAATTATAAGTAGTTTCGAATCTTATTATGAGTTATCATACCTGCAGCAGCAATAGTCTTGGCCTTGATTCAGTTGCTCCATACTCCAGCTCCATCACTTGTTAACATCCCTCTTATTCGAACACTTTACTCAGTGTAGGGCTGTAGGTTTGTTAGGTTGTATTTCATAGTGTCATTTCGTAAAATCAAGCTTACTACCCTATTTTCGTTCTTAAACTCCCTTGCTTTATCGATTTAAAATTATTGGACGAGGCTGAATATGATATCGTAAATTATCAAGACCAAGGCGCTGTTATCTGAAGAAGCCGTTTCGAAAAAAATAGCAAACGTATTGCAATCTCATTTKTATCCTTGAGTGAACTTGACATGATAGATATATTAAAGAAATAGAAAACGCGCGCGCGTGCTATGTGCAGTTATAATGCACGTGGGGGTTGGCAGAACACGAGAGAAGTGTTAGGAGAAGCACGACGCGTAGCACGCGTATCCAACCAATCRGAACGYGAGATTTTATAACAGTTATTTTATAATATCAGATAAAACATATTTATCATGTCGAGTTCACATCATATCAGGGATTGGCTGAGGGGCTTCGGCCAATCAAAATTGAGATAGTAGTAAGTAAAATGGATGATAATACTCCATGTCAGCTGTAACGAACTTATCCTGATATGTGGAAAATTTTAGGTCCGCGTCTTTTTCAGTGTAACAAAAAATGTACGAACGTGAACGTGAGAATTTAATTTTTATGAAACGAAAGAATTCGTGCGAAACTGTTCATGGAAAAACTGCACAACAGCTTCATTTAAGGCCACATGAACAGCTTGAATGGGATATATTATTTTGTGAAAGGAATAGCAAACTTCGGAGATCATGTACCGATGCAGCAGCCAATGCCAACTAGATATAGCCGGAGACCTGTGCCATACCATTGCACAAGGAAGAACGCATAACCAGCTGTAAAGGCTCAACATTTTAGTATTTTACAAGGAAGTTTCATTTTCTTGAATAGTTAAAAAAACCGGAGAACGGTAAACTTTCGTTTTTTCAAAGGCAGGCTCCGTTTACCCGGAAAAAAATTGACCTGTACATACCGTTCATACACGGAACCGTCTCAGTTTAATTGTATAAAAAAATAAGTTCTATTTACACGCAAACGGATCCAAATTGCACAGCTAGGAGTACATTTTTTTTTTTTCCGGATAGCTCAGTCCCTTATGAACGGAACCCTTAAAAGTACAACTTTTTGATCGGTTCAAAATTTGTCCGGTACCGTCGGTGTAAACGCAGACAAGTGTAGAATATTTTCGTTAATGCCGTTTCAAGTTTGAATAATCTTACCCTGATGCCAAGTAAAGACCTCCACACGCATTGTTTTATGATTATTGTAAGCTGTTGGTACAAATCGGATGTATCTTGCGGGCTGTAGATTTTTCAGGCAACGTATCTCAACAGTTGACATGTCACTGTTGCCTTGAAATATCTACACAAAAAAAAAAAAAAAAGAAGGATATTCAAATATATTTACTAAATTAATGTGAGTTGGAATTGGTAAAAACTAAAGTTAGCAGGTTAGTAAACTTTACTATAACAAGGTATAGGCCATATGAAAAAAGAGGGAAAGACTGCTGGAAACGAGCACCACGGACAACTAATGATTTCAATAATAGCTCTTTTATTCCGACGAAGGRCTAGCGTCCGAAACGTCAATCAGTTTTTTCATCTTWTCACGGTGTAAAAATTACTCTTTTATCGTTACGATTTCAAAAATATATTTTCAGTGCAAGAAAGAACATGTCTAAATTAGAGTTCTCTTGTCATATACCAAATCCTTGCAGATTTATTATTATAAATTTAGATAAATTTCTGCTAACTAGTCCGTGTAAATACTTAAAAAAACGTAGAAGGATCTATTACTTTTACTTTTAATTAAACATAACATAATTTATAAATTTGCGCACTAAATAAAAGCGAGGCCAAAGTTTAAGAAATTGCATTAGAAAACCAACTTATATAAAACAAAACTTACATAGGCCAAAAGAGCAACCAAAGCCATATGTATGTCGGCCAAAGCTCTAGTTAAAATAAGTCGTAGATACAAAGAAACGAGCGATTGATAGTGTGTTTATAATTTAGTTGAAATGTATCCACTGGAGGGAAACCCATATGGCGGCCAAATTAGGAAGGTTGAAAACCATCCAACAACCAGTTCAATTTTTCAATGACAATGATTCTCAAAATAAAGATGCCGTAATAATTNTACTTTTACTTTTAATTAAACATATCATAATTTATAAATTTACGCACTGAATAAAAGCGAAGCCAAAGTTTAAGAAATTGCATTAGAAAACCAACAGATCTATTTCGAACTGTTTTCATAAATATCATCTGAAAATCTTTTAAAATGATCACCTAGTCGTGTTTGGTATCTTTTGGGTTTCAGGCCCCGTCCACACGCATTCGGAAATTTTGTATCCGCAAATTTTTTTTTGCGGATACGAAAATGTTCGCGTCCACACGCAGCGTATTCGAATCGTTTTCGCTGTCCACACGTATCCAAAAATTTCTTGATCCGCCCTGATGCACGCTAGTGCCTAGTCCCTTTGACAGATAGTTTTTCTTATTGAGCATGCGCAAAACCGTGTTTACGTCAGCGTATTCGAAAATTTGCGGATACGACCGTCCACACGTATCCGTATTCGGACATTTCCACTCTGGAGACCGTTTTCGAAAATTTCAATTCCGGATACGGATCGATACAAAATTTTCCGGACACGTGTGGACGCAACGCGTATCCACAAAAATAATTTTGCGGATACACAAATTTCCGGATACGTGTGGACGGGCCTCAGAAAGAGAAAAAGTTGATTCAAGAATCGTTATTTTAAGCCTTCAAAGCATCAGGAAACTTCTTCAATTCCAAAAAAAAAAAAACATAATATATTAATTAAGTATTTCTGTTGATAAGAGAGGATTCGAATGGTAAGCAGACAATTTTGGGGTTTAAATCCTGGGTTAAAGTACAATGGGTTCACATCTAGAATATTTTTTTCCAGTCGACTAATTAGTAGAGGCAAACATTTCCGAAAAATATAAGCCTACATTCAGTTTAAATTCACAAGGACAAAAGACAGACTTAGTGTTAAAGCAAAACAAAAATTTTCTTTGTCAGTAATTGGCATTAGTAAATGTTCTTGAATAATTAGTATTTCTTAGTTTATTACGAGTTATTCAAGAACACATCCACAACAACACAAATGCAACCTCTTTCTTTTTCCAGGACTTATATAAAACAAAACTGACATAGGCCAAAAGAGCAACCAAAACCATATGTATGTCAGCCAAAGCTCTAGTTAAAATAAGTCGTAGATACAAAGAAACGAGCGATTGATAGTGTGTTTATAATTTAGTTGAAATGTATCCACAGGTCCGCCATCTTGGTGTCCCATGGAGGGAAACCAATATGGCGGCCAAATTAGGAAGGTTGAAAACCATCCAACAACCAGTTCAATTTTTCAATGACAATGATTATCAAAATAAAGATGCCGTAATAATTTTTTAGAGTTAAAAACTTATTATTTCAATAGACCAGTTTCGAATTCCAAATTACCGCTGTGTTCCTTGAATACAGACTCATTTGCACAGGGTTAGAATCCTATCAGTGTTTAAATATTCACAAACACCAACGATTATAAAGTAAAGAATGCATAACTTCAACAATACAAACACTTTGAAACTCGACGGACCTTGACTAGAAAACGTGAATATTCTGCACAAACTCTGTGCAAATGAGTCTGTAATCAAGAACCACGGGGGTAATTTGGAATTCGAAATGGGTCTATTGAATTACCCTATATCTAATGCTTTGAAAATGCATGACAGAATTGCGTGACAGAAGTTGACTCCCAATAAATCTAAGACCAACACCCATAATATAATATTTTTGTAAGACTTTTCTTAAAACGTTATRAACAAAATATTCAGCAAACAGTTATGTCGAGTGAATACTTTGATTTTTAGTTTTTTGATGACGTCACGTAAAACGGCAAGAATAGAAGTRCTAACTACATTCAKGAAACAAATGTACCTTATCGTTTCCATTTTCTCTATATGTTTTCCAGTAACCACCATAATCTGAGAAGCGAAGTTTGTATTTTGTCACCCATTCGTTATTATTCCTACCGCCTTGTGTTGCTACGCCACATACTTCACGTAGCCCTCTAAGATCAATCTGCAGGTAATCTCGTGAATTGACATTTGAAAGGGCTGACCATCCATTTCCATATAGTCTGCCATTTTGTGGCCCAMGTTGTGCATTATAAGCCGAAGATGATGCTGTTAAACTGCTGTCAGGAATGACTGACTTGTACTGTATTCCAACGGGGTTTCTGTCACATCCTGCGTTTGTGGTTAAGAAAATATATAGTTCAATACTGCACTATCAAGAATAAGCGACGGTCAACACTGAACGAATAAAATGCCTTTGCTTTAGTTCAGAAATGCTTGRTATCAAATGTACGTCGTGCATGAAACTTCCGTTCACATTAAATTGTACATAGCTGGAAAACACATTAAGCTAAAAAGCAATAATGATAAAAACGACAATCGTCTAACTTTTACCAAGTTTCTTAGTCTGAAGGGGAAAATTTTGTATAATTACTTAAGTAGACGGTAGGTTATTTACAGGTCAGTTAGATATAATGGGGAGCAATACYGATCATGAATCATACATTCAGTTACTACGATACCTGGACAATTAGATGTTCCCTTTACGCATAAGATCTGAACAACTTGTAGATAAAATAAAGCAAGCCAAAGCATTGTAATACATATGAGAGAAGAATCTTCAATTCTTCCTTATCCAGGCAAAAAATTAATGCCCGCAAGAACCGAAACAGCTGATAGTACATGAAATATAAAACATGCGTAATGAAACCGCATACTTTATTTTTGCATAATTTCACAAAATCATGTCATCTCAAAACTAAGCCTGATATTTCTTTTTAGGAGGAAATCTTTGCATCTAAATTGCTTGTTATACCATTGGAAGTCTGCTGAGAAAAAATAAATGTTTGTAATTATTCAGTTTATGAGGCGAAAACTAGTTAACTATGGTTGCTGCGTAGCCTATTGATCAGTAAGTCTTCTTATTCCCAAATGAAATATAACWTTTATTTTGTTTAAATGTTCAGTAATTCTGATGGGTATTTATGATTGTAGTACCTGAATTTGTTTATATTATAGTCTGCTTTTCGACAGAAAATTAAAATATAGTGGAATTAAATATAGGTAAAACGAAAACTGTCMCAAAATTAATCAGTCGCCAATGTTAAAAACGTGTTTAAAGTGAAATAAAACAAACAAATAAAAGAAAAACACAAAAATAGAAAAGACAAATATTGTCCTCGATTCTCAAGTTCAAATACTCAGGCCTTACTAGAAGTGAAAATAATTCTGCTTTAACCAATTTATTAATAATATTTTTGTTTTGATTATGACTTATTTATGCAAACTATGAGAGGAAGTAACAGAGAAAAAGAACCGTCTATATCATTATCACAGGAAATAGCCCGGCTTATAATTAAAATTTGGCTGGTTTTATTTCCGTTTCTTATAATGAAATGTTCACCAAGCGTATTAACCACTAGCGTTAGCTTATTTTAAAATGCTTATTTACCAAGTGTTCTGAAGAAAAGCATATTAGTTTTTTTAGTTATTCATTGTAACTTCATTCTCTCTTTCCTTCAACACACATGTAATTACATCTCTCTCATAATGGTACAATATGTCGTTGTTATTGGCAATTGCAATTATTGCGCATCGATTCTTGGATGAGCTCCGCAGTACAAAAAATGGCGGACAAGGGCAAGTAGTGTCGTGCAGCAGAAGGYTTTAGGTTTTAAGGTATTTCTTTTTAAGAGAATTGTCGTCCTTAGMAACTATGATTATTTTATTAATAAAAATTTAAACGGTCTCGAATAAGCTGCGGAGCTTTAAAGCTTTCTCGATTCCTTAGATAGAATTTAACTACAACATACTCCAAATCTTCCGCTGCTCTTGGGWCCTTGACAATCTCCAGGATRGTTTAAACCTGAGGAAGCCACAAATCAGTCATTAAGAGTGTCTCGTATTCACGAGAAAAGGCTGATGGGCGAAAAAATTACTGGCAGGCAGGCAGGCAGGCAGGCAGGCAGGCAGGCAGGCAGGCAGGCAGGCAGAGCGGTAAAATGAAAAATACACACCACATGTTTCCGCGCACATTTTGAAAGTCACCGAGGTTGAGACAATCCGAACAAACAAAATAAAAAGGTTCTTTTACCTGTTATTTGTGTTCACATGATGCATGGTGGTTCTTCCTGATAATCTCGTACTTGTGATGTWAACCACAGAACAGTGCAGAACATATTCCAATGTGACTTTTTGCGTTGTTTTAGTAATTAGGGTAAATGCCTTAGGTCTCGGTTATTGTATCGCATATACCTAACACTCTGAATATACCTAAGCGTTGTGCTGTTGTATCTTCATGCGTTGATCGCTTTCTTAACAAAGGTATTCCCCAGACGCAGCTTGGGTAWTACTCATAATTTTCTCAATATCCCTTTGTTATTTTATGGTATGCACATCAAATATACATTGGTAAAGTTGTTCCCCTGACATGGATGAGYCGCATACCTATCATTTCTTCGACATAATTGGGATTTCATTTGTTGTATGGTGATTGTACATTAGTAAAAGTATACCCCAGGCATAGCCTAGATGAGTCACATACTTCATCAATATGCCTGGGATTGCTGATATTGTATATTTATTGAAGGCGTTCCCCAGGCATAGGACATAGCCTCCTCCACAGGCATCTCTCTGAATCTCTCTATCTCTCTATCGTGGTTCTATGCCAAAGGAAGCCTGCCCTGTAGCCCGCCCCGCCAAAGAATGCCCAAGGAGTTGCTTGCAAAGGAGACTACCCCAAGCATAGCATAGATGAGGCACGTACCTATTACGTGATCAATATGCTTGGGGTTTCAATAATTGCTGATAGTAATTCATAACTTATTATGCTGGTAATTGCCTACGATATGATAGGACGCGCGTACCTTATACTTAACGATTAGACCCGCCGCCCGAACGGTCTAAGAGTCAATAGCMCATGAGACCAAGAGGCGAATAGGCTGTTGAACCGTAGAACATGACGGCGAGAGGTCTATTTGTTTTAGTATAAATCTACTACTTGTTAAAATGAATGATGCAAACAATTTTGAAATTAGGTTGGGGAAAAACAAAAGGCGTTATTTTGCACTATTCGCTACTCTTGTTCTTTCAGATATTAGACCGCTATTCTATAGACCATTACTTTAGCTTAAAATCTAGCAAAGACGGCTTGGTCTAGAATGTTATTAAAAAACGTCCGCGCCAGCAAGTTTTCTCTTCCATTCACGCATTCATGTTTTAGTCAGCAGCGTTTTGCTGCAAGACGCTCGAATTCGTATAATTAGCGAAATGAGATGTTATTTTTGCAGGACCTGTACTTCGATTCGTCTTTTTCCTGCTGTCTACTCCCCGCAGCGTAAGCGTAGATTGCAGGCATTAAAAGATTCAGACGRTTCAGAGTTTCACATATACTCACACTTACCTGTACATAATGTATGAACCATGATTGGTCGACTGTATGGCCCAGGCCCAGCACTTGTATACGCTCTTACTGATACATCATAACGTCCACACACCAAAAGATTATCGATTATATATTGATTGTTTTGACTTGAAACAATATCTGTTTTAGTCTGACAGGGCCAGGACTTTAACTTTTCAAAATGTCGGCATAAAAATCTCCATCGTAATTGGTATTTTGTTACAATGCCGTTGCTGACGTCTCGAGGTAGATTTGTCCAAAGTACAACAAATGTTGAATTGTTCGTCCTTTTTACTGATGTGTTAGCAGGGGATATACTTGGAGCTTTTTTCACAAAATAAAAGTAGTAAATTATGCGTGAATTTCAAACCTATTATGTCAAGATTTTAAATGAAGAGGATGCAATAAGCCATACCACATTACATTTGGTTACTAAATTTTTTGAAGAAATGCAAACGTTTTTCACGGATGGGTGCTTTAGCACAGAGAGATTAATCGGCATTGTACTGATTGCACGCTACCAATAAGCCCAAAAAAAAAATGCTTACGAGAGTGGAGTTTTGCTTTTTTTTCCTAAAACGTTTTGATTTATGTAGGAGTTATCATCATACCTGCAGCAGCAGTTTTGGCATTGATCCAGTTGCTCCATAAGCCAGCTCCATCACTTGTTAACATYCCTYTTAGTCGAACACTGTACTCRGTGTAGGGHTGTAGGTTTGTTAGGTTGTATTCCATAGTGTCATTTGGTAAAATCAAGCTTTCTATCCTACTTTTGTTCTTGAACTCCATCAAGTATGATACTACTGGTATGTTATCCATAATCCTCCATGTCAGTTGTAACGAACTTTGATGTGGAACAATGTCGGGTCCATCTGTTATGAACAAACTGYGTATGTTATACAATAATTGATCGAATATTTATGAAATGAAGGAGTTCATCATTTGTTTTTGAATTTAACAATGCTACCAACATATATGCTTAAATAAGTTTCAAAGGATAAATGATCAAATTAGGAAGAGTAGATCTAGTCCATGGCTCAAATTAGGAGAAACTGTTTAGAAGTGCGATTATATAATAGTTTTAACCTGGGCACCAGATAGCAAAAGGAAAACATATTTTTACAGTGCATGGAGAAGTTCAGTGAAATTAAAATGGAGTTGAAATGAAAGTTGGCTTTGGAATGATGGGATGGGATGATGTAGGGATGCAAGGGACAGGCCCTTCAAAGCCTTCACCACCAGTTGTCCTTCTTTCTCTATGACACACGACGGTCGTGTGTCATAGAGAAAGAAGGACAACTGGTGGTGAAGGCTTTGACTACATTAAATATATCTTCTCTTCAAGCTGCTGATAATTTGAAAGACACATCAAATTCTGAAAAAGATTAACTAACTGAAAATATCGATAAATTACATATTACATCAATCTAACAGTATAACATTTAGAGTCTCAATTTCAGTATTTCAAGTTTGAATGTGCTTACCGAGATACGAAGTAAAAACCTCTACACGCATCGTTTTATGAATGTGGTAAGCTGTCGGTACAAACCGGATGTATCTCGCTGACTGTAGATTCTGTAAGCAACGTATCTCAACAGTTGACATGTCACTGTTACCTTGAAATATCTGATAAAACACATATAAAATTAATTAAAGAAAAAATAAGCTTGTAAAAAATTTGTAATAGCCTGCCCTAACATTTTGTAATTTTGTAACATTTTTGTCTTTTATTAATTGTAAATAATCTTCGCTGTAAGTTGTATTTAAGCTTAATAGCGCAGCGCAGCCGTGACGTCATAAAAACGAAGACAAAGACGAAATTCGGACAAACAAACTTACAAGTTTACTTTCAGCAGATAATTTTCACAGCCGATCCCAGTTGATCTTAGTTTACATGGGTTATTATTGTAACAATAATAAAATAAGTAAAATAATAATATAAGTAAAAATAAATAAAATCGGTTCGTATAATCCTCGTAGCGGCTAAACAGAATGCAATGTTTGTCCGAATCTTTAAGCTATTTTTAGAATCAGCGCGCTGCGCTATCAGTCAAAGCCTATACGAATCCAAAGAAGTCTGAAATCGAAAAGTCATAAAATGCAATCCATTTGTAAAGATTACRAATGAAATTCATGATCCATCTGTGTGAATAAGAATGCGAGGGTATAGAAAAATCGCTCGCAGACCGAACCTAACCAAGGCGAGTTTGTGTTCATATGCAGCCATGCTATACAATGTCGGTCGTGGGGTAATATAAAATAAAACAAAAATCACTGAAATATACATTCAGGAAACAAATGTACCTTATCTTTTCCCTTTTCTATATATATTTTCCAGTAGCCACCATAATCGGAGAAGCGAAGTTTGTATTTTATCACCCATTGGTTATTATCACTACCGCCTTGTGTTGCTACACCACATACTTCACGTAGCTCTCCAAGATCGATCTGCAGGTAATCTCGTGGATTCACATTTGAAAAGGCTGCCCATCCATTTCCATATAGTCTGCCATTTTTTGGCCCAAGTTGTGCATTGTAAGAAGAGGATGCTGTTAAACTGCTGYCAGGAATGACTGACCTGTACTGTATCCCAACTGGGTTTCTGTCACAACCTATAAGTTTATGATTTAAGAAATGAGTAGGTGGTCCAAAGCTGCATTATCAAAAAAAAAAAAAGCCGATTTTAAGCTGTCATCTGAAAGAATGCTCCAAGAAAAGTATTTTTGGGAAAATCCACTAAATAAATAACAGCAGAGTTATAAAAGACCAAAGTTAAAGTGTTTATATGTATATTTTGCTGGAGGCCTCCTCAAATATTGTCAAGGACTTTCGAGTGGATTTCAAAACTCTCGCATGCTATCTACTTTATGAAGCCCTATCATTTTAAAGAGTTCTATCCTRACATAGAGGATATTACATGGGCGCGCGGGGATACGAATTTTATCTTCGAGTGTTGAAAAAATCTCTCACGAGTGAGCGCAGCGAAGCGGCCATGTAATATTCTGTTTATTATATAATCATCAAGGAAGTATGTTTTGACTTTTTCAGGCAATTTTTTCCGTGTATTTTTGAATAGCCATCGCAATGGTGTTATCTTCACGTGTGAAGATATCAATTTTTCGAAATAGAGAAAAATAGATATTTCATTGGTAATTATATACTAAAAATCATTATTAATGATTATTTTAATTTGTAGTAGCTTCACGATGTCAAAGGTCCTTAAAAGATAATTTTATGTAAKTAGTTAATCTGGCTGACACGAAATCTCTTTCAGTCAATTCGAAATATTTAGTATAAGAAATAATAATAATCTTACATTACGACAATACCTGAGACATTAGATGTTCCCTTTACCATCTGAGCTACCTGTAGATAAAATAAAGCAAGCCAAAGCATGTTGATAAGAGAAAAATGTTCGATTCTTTCTTATCCAGAGACAAACAAACATGAAAACGAAAAACCTCAAGGACCCGAAACAGCTGATACATGAAACTTTTATTTCGTAAAAGCTAGTAACAAGCATGCGCATTAACTACTTCCCCCCTTTCGCATTACGACTCCTAAAAGATATGCCTATTTTTTTCTTTACAGCAGGGAATGATCATTTCATCGAAACAGCTTTTTTTACATTCCCAAAAGTTTGCTTTTTGATGAAAGAAAAAATATCTGTTTTGATTCAGTTCATCAGTAGACATGACGCTTTTAGAAAAACAACTGTAACGCCATACACAAGGTTTTGAGATCGGGAACTCTGCCACACGCGGCGCAGGAACATACGATACATGTGCATTTCAAACCGAGACTAAAAAATTAACTCTCGGCCACGTCCTAGATTCGTAAAATACTAAATAACCGTCAAACATTGTTGTTGACGAGGACAATATCCATAACGTCACACAGTCAACCAGTCAGTAAGTCACATTCGGACACAGTCACATTGGGACAGACAGACAGTTACTCACTCACTGACATTGAGGCAGGGAGGCAGGTATGCAAGAACAAATGTCTGCGCATAACTTTTATTTTGAGGGCGTAGTTGACACAATTCTAGAGAAAACTAAAAAGTATTCTTACCTTTGTGATGCATCATGGTTCTTTCCGGTGTATCTGTGATGCCAACCACCCAAACTGTTCGGAACGTATTTCTATTTCTTTACTTTATATGTATTTTTCGCATTGTTACTATTTAGGGTTAGTGATATATGTTGTAAGTTACTCTATCGTATATACCTATCAYTCTTTTAATATAACTGGGCTTTCTGTTTTTAAAGGTGATCACCAAGCACAGAAAGGATGAATCAGATGCCCTACAATTTTCTCAATATGCCTGGGCTTTTTGGTAATTATCGTATCGTATGCACCYACTGTACATTAGTAAAAGTGTACCCCAGGCATAGTAAAGAGGAGGCACGCACCTGTTACTTTATCTTTATGGGTG